AGAAATAGAGAAGAGAGAAAATAAATAAAGATAAGATAGATAGATAGATAGATAGATAGATAGATAGATAGATAGATAGATAGATAGATAGATAGATAGATAGATAAGCAGACAGACAGACAGAAAAAGAATAGGGAAGGTAGCGATGGACGGACGGACTCTAGAAAGTCTCCAGTGTCCCCCTTGGAAGTTTTTTCCAGGCCCCTTTTGACAACAGGTACCCTTAAAAAAAAACCTCAAAAGCCAACACTGTCATCTCCTTAATCTACAAAACATTGATGGGGAGACCCTGAACCCACCCTTGTCTGAAGGGGGCGCTATTTTCTTTTCCGTGTCGCTTACAGGATCTAATCAAATACTTTTTCTTCCTCTCCCTTCCAGTGACCCCAACCGAGGGGAGTCCGAAGTCCCCATCGCCTGGGTGCCTTACGACAAGGAAAACTCCTTCTACCTCGATATCAACCACGACATCAACTACAACTCGGTGAAACAAGGCCTGAGGGACGTTTACGTCAAGTTCTGGAACGTGGCTTACCGCAACCTCCCCAATGTCCGAACCGCAGAAAAGCGGGAATAAAAAAACCGCAACCAACCAACCCCGAACAACGTCTCTTGACGTTTATACGTGAAACGAGAACCCAATAAACAGATCTCACTCTCTTGAAATCTTCCCCTTTTTTTCTGCCTGCGAAAGTCTCAAAGTCCATCAGCTCTGTTCTGACCGAGGCTTCCCAAGAGTATGAAGCCAATTCCTCGTCCCGACAAAAACCCCTTTTATTAATTTCCTGTGAATTTTGCTCCTTCCCATCCAGCAAAGTCTTTCCAGGGAGTATTTACGGTCACAGAACTTATCTGGCTTGGAGAGCTGCCAGGATGATCTCTGCAAAACTTTGCAAGGAGTCTCAGAGAGTCACGAACCAATGAAGCGAACTGATGGTCTCCTGCAAACTCCACTCCCCTTTCGGCCAAACTGGTAGTGGTATTTTGGCCTTGGTCGGAGAACCAGCAGTGACCCAGGCTGGCCACGCCCCCCCTCCCTGAGTGGTTCCCCCGGTTGCCACTCTCCGGCATGTTGGTTAGTATTCGTGCGTGCGAAGTTTACTGTAGATTATTCTGCGCATGCGTGAAGAATAATTTGCATTGAATTGTGTCCGCGGACACAGTGTGCGTCTGTTGTGCATGCGCGGAAGGGTAGTAAAACCGGGAGCAACCCACCTCTGGCCCAACGCCGTTCTTTCGGGGAAACCTATGGTTGAAATCCCAGACCCTTCTCAAGAGAGGCACTCAAACAACATGACAACGTGTCTGGTTTCTCTTTTAATCAAAAAAAGGCTACTTACATCAGCGTTAGTGTGCTACTTCACAGAAATAGGTACAAAATAGACCTCGCCTAGGCAGCTCACACAAACACACCAGTTGTGGAATTGGCTGGAGACGAATCTCCTGACGCCAAACCCCAGCAGAGGACAGGGTGGGGTGGGGGAAGGCTAAAAGTATGTTAGGCGAGAATGATAAAGCCTGACACCCCCTTAATAGCATCTCGGTACGGCCGAGGGACGGCGTGTTGTTCCAAAGTAGGGAAACCAATTTGCCAATTTGGGGTGGGTGGGAGGAGACAGCGCTCACCTGGCTGATCAACAGAGAGAAGGTTACCTCCAGGACCCCTTAAGCCCCCTTCCTTCCTCCCAACCAAGCAGCTGGAGGTCAAAAAATACACACACCGAGAAAGGGAAACGTAAACAAGCGAATTAGAAAAATGGTCTTCTCAGGGCGCCTGAATTCCTAGAACCATCAGGTCCTAGATAAGTTGGGAAGGAGGAAAAAGATGGGCGAGGGAAGGCGGAATTTCCCCTCTGCCTTCAGGAAGACAATCCTTTCCTTCATAGGCAGAGGGTGCGTGGAATGGGGGGGAAACCCACTGGTGTTAAGGGGTGTGGTTTTTTCTCGAGGGAGTCTTGGACCAAACTCTTTAAGTATCTTCCTGTTAAACAGGCAGGAAAAAGCAGTGGGGTACCCCCTCTTTGGGGGATCCTGGCAGCGCGAGGAAGATGCCGTCCAGCCAGGTGCTTGGCACGTGGCGGCTTGGAAAGGCGGGATTTTGGTGGGCCGCCCCTGGCATGGGCATCGCCGCTGGATTCGAATTGGGCCAGAGGCTTGCCAAGAAGCAAGGGCCATCAAGAGATCTCGAAGCAATAAATAAAAGCTTCACGGCAAAATTCAGATTTCCCTGCGCGGCTTCGAGGCGCCAGGAACGAGGGGGGGAGGGCGAGCTGTGCCCTTCCCCTCCGTTAAAATAGATTTCCCTCCTCGCTGCCTCGTAGCGGCTGAATTCTGGGCCGAGAAAGAAGCCGTTTTGCAGGACAGCGGCTTAGCCCTATGGGTTTGGTGGTTGTTTTTGCAGTTTTTAAAAGGATGAATTAATCATGCCTTGATGCATTTGAGTTGTTGTTTTTTTAAAAAAAAAAACAGAGGTATTTTTCTATCTCCACCGCCCCCCTCTCTTGCCTGAATTCCTCCAAGCTCTTTGCAACTGAAACCAAGAAGCTCTCGGAAACAAACCCCAGGTGTTAAAACCGTGTTTTTTTTTCCCCACACCGAAACTTCCACCCCTCCCCCCCCAAAAAAGCCTTTTTAAAAACAGAAAATAAGAAAAAAGAACTTCACGGACTTTTTAAGATGGGGGGGGGGGAGGTTAGTAAAATGTATAAATCCAACCGGGCTATTTACAAACAATAAATATTGAGGGGATTAGTAAATCTCGGGAAAAATGGGGTTGAGTCTCGTCGAGGCCTTTTTTTTTTTTTTTACAAAAAGAAAAAAATATATCTCGAGCACACCAGTCCTTCGTAGTCAGGCTGAAATCAACACAAAAGTGGCACTTGTCCATTCGGGTTCAGGAGCCTAAATTGGGGAGGGGGAGGTTGTGGGGTGGCCTCACACTTTAGACCTCTCGTTTCCCCCCTCCCACAATTCTTCGTCCAATCCACAAACTTTATTTACATGCGTCTGTACAAAAGCTAAGTGTTTGTTTTTTTAAACTCCTAGTGTGTTTGACGACTGGAAAAAAAAAACCAGGAAAAACAAAATAACCAGTGCTGTTAAATCTTTGGTGCAGGTTCTTCTTAAAAGAAAATAAAAAGGCCAGATAATAATAATAATAATTAAAAAAAATTTGAGAAGTTAATTATCTGGAGGCTTGGTCTGGCATCCCAAAGGCCGCCTTCAGCCGACGAAGCCACCTGCCCTCCTCAATTCCCGCAGGAAATTCCACTCTCCCGGGCCACGAAAGTGCATTTCGATCCCTCTTCCGCGTGTCGAGTCTTCACAAGATACGAAAACGTCCCCCTCTCCCCCAAACGATTCCACATCCTCGCTCTGGCGGCGTTGTCCACGGTGGAAGGAGAAGGAAGAAACCCTTTTGAGAAGTTTGCTGTTCGGAAGCCACTCTCCTTGGTTGGTCAACAGAAGATAAGGCAGAAACGGTGGACGGGGAAGTTCAGGCAAGCCACGGGCTGTGAAGACCTTAGACCTGGAGAGGTGGATTTCTATTTTGTTTTTTTTCTTCTGGTTTTGTAAAAATAGAAAAAAGGCTAAAAATCCTTCCCGGGCCGGAGTGAGAGCAGGCCACAAAACCCAGCAATACACATCTTCTTAAAAGTAAGAACCAACTTCTGCCAACGCATCCCACAAGCGTTGAAGCCTGCAGAGGAAGATGCCACCAATTTCTTGAAGATCTCACCAACGTTCCTAAGTTCCGGGGCCAAAATCCGAGGCTACGCAACTAGAGGCGTCATCGTCTCTCTCTCACACACACACACCACACCCCGGCGTGGATTAAGACAGAAGGGCCCAGGGAGGGAGCAGGACCATAACCTGGAGAGCCAGTGGGAGGGAGGGGGGACCCGGAGAGCCCCCACACACCTCCCCATCCCCAGTTAGAAGATGCCTTTGGCGATTTTCAAGCCTTTTTGTTTGACCCTGGGGAGCGTGGAGCTGGATCCGTGTTTGATCTTGAGGACTTTGCAGAAACCGCGCTTCTTGAGCATGAAGTCGTAATTGGCGGCCGAGTTCATGGCGTAGAAGACGTTGGCGTTGTCGGGGATTTTGAGCTCTAGGAGAGGAAGGAGAGCGTTAGGGGTATCTCCGTTGGGAGACAGAAAGTAGTGCAGCGGAATGTACAGCTAGAGAGAAAGAATGTTGCTAGTAGAAACACACGAATAGAGTTTCAGACGCTGCTAGTGAAAACAAGTAGCTTTACTACTGATAATTGCTTCACAAGCAGTGATAGTAGATAGTAGATATTAGTCCAAATTAATTAATTGTATTAAACACAATTCAAAGAACAAACAATTGCTTACTGTCATAGTTCACATTCCAGTCATCAAGCATAGGACAAGCGGAGAGAGAGAGAGTGAACTCTCTTGACTCCTTC